AAAAAAAAAAAAAAAAAAAAAAAAGAAAAATAAGAGAATAAGGCACTATAAGAACAAAGCATCGAACGAAAGATAATCGTTTCGTACGACCCATATTCTGTGAAAAAATTTGTTCTCCTTTTGAACAATTTTTAGCAAATTCTTCGTAGATGTGGACCGTGCCTCGGTGTTATGTTTGCTTTAGGGACATATATGGCGAAACGCCTGTCCTTGTAAAGAGCCTTAAGGCTTTCGCAATGAAATATTATTGGGTACATTGCGTACAGCGTGGTTTCGAAAGTATATATCTGTGTGTACACAGAGAGGCGGAAGAGGGGAGATGGGAGACGAAGAATAAAAGAAAAGTAGTGCTAGGATCACGATGGACGCCATTGTCGGTTTGACTCGATGATCGTGATTTTGTCTCCGATTATGCATGTAATAAACCGCGGCAGACGCATCAACGGAAATACGTTTCTGCGCGAACAGAATGGGAACATTGACGCGTTCTATCGGCTTCCTGCTGCCGCTTTCTGTATTCGATTATTAGACGTAATCTAAAATGGCAACAGTACCATAGCAAAACAGAAAAACGAAGCGTACGACGTTCGCTGTTCACCGTCGATCATACGCGTTTTAAAAACGTTTTAGAATTAGGTCGAGCTGTAGTAGAGACAGATAGAGACGATTGCATGCAATCCGAATATTTTTAAAAACAAAAGAACTAAAACGCGGCTGAAAATATTCTTCGTCTCGCGGTTAGCCTTGACAAATTAATCGATATTTTCGCAATTGTCTTCTTCTTTTATCTTTAGCGAAATTGATAGTTGATCGTTGAAGGAAAAAAGATATTACGACGTAAGCCCGGTCGATACGATTACGATAAAAAATGGCAACTGCTAAGAGCTGCTTCTTGTTCACGCCGTCCCGTATAATTAAATACGATCGTCGATTCGAATCAACCGGCGTCGCTCCGAGGACGAAGTCCTGTCGCCTGTGTACGTGAATTCTAACGTGTTCAATTTCGACGTGCTTTCACGCGTGTCTGCCTCACGTGGTGCGTGTGTGCACGTTGTGTCTCCTAACGCTAAGGAACAAACGCCGCGCATTCACGTTCTCGGTCACTTATTTTCTTTTGCGGCTGGTTCGTTGGATCAAAGTTTTTTCCCTGTGTATATTGTCTATTATTCCCTCGTGCGACTGATTTCGATTGCGGACAAGCGAACGAAAGCAAGGAAGAAAGGAAGGGAGAAAGAATGTAAAAGAGAAGAAAATTAAACTGCAGAAAGGAAGGAAGAAAGTTGAGATAAGAGAGCGATCTAATTCGTTTTCCTCGGGCGAATTTTATTTCGTTGTTGTCGCGGAGGAATCAGCGTGCGAGTAACGAGAAGAAAGAGGATATTCATTGAAAATGGATAATCGATGACTTTGCTGTTAAACGAATTAAAAGGTTCGTCTAATCGCGTCGAGTTTAATGGACGAGAGGAGAAATTGGAGCAAGTGTATGTTTGTATGCGTTTGTGTGAACGAGATCGAGAGAGAGAGAGAGAGGAAGAAACGGATGAATAACAAAAAAAAAAAAAAAAGAAAAAGAAAGGAGGAAAAGAGGAGAACGAGAGAATTTGCGGTTCAGTGTGCGCGAGCTGCGGTTCTTCGGAGACGGAATTGAAGTGATTAATTAAACGAGATGTTGTAAATTGTTCTATAGCAAAAATGAAAAGTGTTACGGCCGTGGCAGCGCGCCCTTCGAGAGTTCCTCGACGGTTAACAAAATTCTTACCTCTAATCGATTCAACTTCGGCAGAAGAAACTTCGAAATTAATAATCGGAAGGAGTAGATAGGAAACACGCGATCGATCGACTTGATCGACGATTAATTTCGTCGTCGACGAGTCTCGAGGAGCGCGATGCTTTGATCGTTTCGATGTTGATATGTCAATGCTGTGATGTTATCCTTTGAAACTTCAAATGAAAAAAAAATATATTTCCCCTCCCCCTATTTGTCCCTCCATCATCCCCGTTCCCCTTCGACACGGCCCACCCTCGATTTTTCCAGAAAGTATCCCGCAAGACGAACCCCTTCTCCTTGGAAAATAAATATTTCTATTACTGTAACACTCCGCATAGTCCTTTAAAAAAAAAGAAAAAAAATAGCTAGATTCTAATCGTATTTAATGTAAAGTTTATTATTGTTACATCTCAGTGAATCTCTCCTCTATCAGTGATTTCACGGAGAGAACGACGTACCGTCGACGAAAGAACGACGTTTAGGAAGATACCGGAGAAAATTATATAGCGACGATTTCAGGGGAAGGATAAAAGCGTTAACTATTATTAGGAAAATCCTGAAAGTATAGCGATCGATAATCGATCAACCGTTACGCTCGTTCCTCTCCGATACGTCACTGGTAAGCAAAATTCCTACATTTGTCGCATTTGTAAATAAAATTTTTATCATCACACAATGCAACGTGTTGTTATCTCCATGTTCAACCTAATTGCATATTAGATCGCGGACAATTATGCAAATTTATCCTTTTATGAATACTACTAAGAACAAATTTATTATACCTACTAACCCCCTCGTATCTTTTAGATTATTTTCTATCTGTAGAAAATTTCTTAAATTTAATAAAATTATACTTCAAAATTTCTTGAAAACTTTTCTTTGAAATAAAAGCGAGATCGAGACATAAAAAATACGAATTAAATACTATACATAAATAAATTGTACTGCGCTTTAGATATTTTATATTATTTTCTATACTATGTGGGTTGTTCCATCTTTGTGTTTTTAAATTCCTCATAAGTGCATAACACGCTACCAACTAATTATCTTATTGTGTTATTTTATTAGTCGTAAGGAAACACGAAGATTATAGGGGAATGAAAATCGATTAAATTTTTAGACACGTGAGACGAAACTTTTTTTCTTCGATGAATTATAAACGACGTTACAAAATGAATATTTACATTCTACCGTGTCGCTTGGAATAATACAAGGTTCATTGTACTCGTTACAAGTTAAGCTGATAAATCGCGCGGAACTCGCGATCTATTTGCGCAATCTCGACGCAACGATTTCACATTCGCAACACGCATAAGCGGCGAAAAAGAAATAGGCTCTGCTTGTTTTGTCGCACGTGATTAAATCTACGCGGTTTTCAGTTTTATATCGTGGCGACTCTTTGGCAATCGATGCAACCTTAACGAAACGTGATGAAAAGAGTAGAAAAGATAGAAGATAGAATTGCCTATTTACAACGATTTATAAAAAGAAGATATAATATTGATAGTATGTTTCTTTAAATGCAAGCTCTGTGAAAATTAAACCAGATAAACTCGTCAATTTTTGTAACATTTACAATCGCGACTGGCTACTAGGGGTAATTACCAAAGCTATCCGAGTACCTCGTCGTTTATTCGATATATTTACACTCGAATCCCGTTCGATCGTATTGCACGACGAAATTTACAACACGGGATCCTGCTAAAATAACTTAAAATTCTTAGGCTCGCTCTCTTAGACGCATACACGATTATTATAAATAAATAACTGTTACATTCCTCGATCTTCTTGGATAAAATGTAATTTCTAACATATAAATACACGATGGTGTGAAACCCGCGGGACTATTTTGTACCATTTTTAAATTTTTATACAAATTCTATAGAAGTTGCCTGTAAAAATATTGATATTCCCCTCGATTACATCATATGATTCTCCTCGTAATACATCATAAAATTGCGAAACATTTAATTCAATACTTTAACGACGACGTTCAGATAAGTCCCAAAGGCTTACATGTTATTACACTCTGACTTTGTCCATTAGCATATCTCTCTATCGCAAGACATTTACACAATATACGGCTGAATATACTATTTACCTAACGTTTCGTACGTCTACCTTTGGTACAATTGTTCTCGCTATTGACTATAATCGTAAATTCTCTTTGTTCTGTCTGATCGACGTGATATAGCCGAGACACGAATCAGTGCTCCTTTTTACCATTTACTTTCTATTCCTTCATAATCCATTACCATGCACAAATAATCTCAAATCTGAAGAACTACATTCCTGCAAATTAATCTTCCTCCAAAATCTTCCCTCAAATTCTAATTTTCAAAGAAAACTAGGCCCTACCTGAAAAATCTCGCTACATTTTAGCTCTCACCATTACTCAACTTCTTGCTTCAAATACTGCTTAACACGATTGAGAAAAAGCTGCAGCCAATTATCAGCACATTTCATGCAGCTGCAACTTCATTTTTCATTTTCACATTGTATAGCATTCATGAATCAATTCTATCAACAAATTACAATTAATTATACAACGTTTATATGAACAAATAATTTTCGTAGTCCGCATACGAGGACGCTGTGATGTGTTTCGATGAGATTGGTGTTGATGGAACGCTCTGAGGCAATTGTTGCATTCGAGGTAGTTGCAACTGCGGTAGTTGTGTCGCGTGGGGTACCACGATTCTTGGTTGCTGATTCAACGAGCCCAAGGACAGATGATGTTGGTCGATCTTGTGGATGTTATTATTGTTGATCGGACTGGCATCTTTATGCTGATACAACTGCAAATGATTGTTGTTGTCGTTTCCTGGGTTGTAATGGGCCTGATGGGTACTGTGGAGGTTCAGTCTTGACATCGCCATGCTGATGCTCGAGTCCGACGCCCACATGCTCTGCGAACAGGACGATTGTGTAACGAATTTGACTTTCTATTATGTTCTAATGAATAACGCCGATTATGTTGGTTGACGCAGCGAGATGCGTTCGTACGCGCAATTACAATCGGCAGTCTTGGAGAACATCCAAGATTAGGAATTCCTTTGTTCTTTGCGTGAGAACACGTACAATGATCGTTTGGTTTCTTAGAAATTGACTTTTGTGGAGAAATTAGAAATCGACTAGTTTGCCTTCTGATAATTAATTTTTTAACTTGCTGGGTAGAATAATATTGAGGAAGCTTTTCAAATATATATTCCGAATATTCAATAAAAATATTTAGAAAGTTTCTCAGGTAATTGTGGATTAATTAAGGGAATCTAAGGTAGTTAATAACTGGTTTATGTACTTTTCTTCTATGAGGATTGTAGTCAGGGTTGCGTCTTATGCGAAGATGACGATCGGCACTTGCCCATTGTTGCGTGACTTTAAGGGGTGAGTCGTCAGGATGCAACTTCCTTTGGTACTCTTCGCCTTCGCAGACTTCGTATAGAGAGAATTGTTCGACGCGTTCTTTAGAACTGTAGCAGCTCAATAACATCTGGATCAGTTCGTCGACGGTAGTCTGTTCTGAGACTAGTAGACTCTTGTACTTTGACTGTAAACGATAAAATATTCTTGATAAGTTACTTGTGAAAATATCGGTAACGTAGCACATACAATTTTATAGAATAAAACACAGAATAAGACAGAACACAATACATTAGAAGAAAGAAAATTACAATAAGTGAGAGCAGAGAATAATATACACCGCTCTTTACATAATAATTAAGGGATCATTTTCTGTGTCACTTTGATTTTTACATTCACTTCTTGTGTTTCTACTCTTTTTTTTGTAAATATTTGCTTTAAAGTCAGTCTCTATTAAAGTCAAACTGTCAAGTCTATTCTTTCGATTGGTATAGTAAAAATCACCCTCTAATTATTCTGGGTACTGTACGATAAAATACAACGCAGCAGAACAGAATAGAGAAGAATATGGAAAGTGGGTAAAGGTAATAGACTAGTCGGATTTCTAAACGTCGTAAAATAGAGTAAAGTAAAATAAGATGGAATAGAACGAAATAGCAAATTAAATTACGAGGAAACATGTAAAACGGTTCTGAAGTGTGCGTAACTTACTCCGGACATGAGCGCGCTGTCGTATATTTTGACAAGTCCACCACGGCGTGTTTGCAACGAGAATCTGCAACAAGAAAACATCCGTGAATTTCATGGATATCGTAGGGGTCGGCGAGTTCAAAGGGAATCGACAAACGCTACTTCTACGTAAAAACACGGGACCTGAAACTTCCAGTCAAACACTGTCTGTCTACGTATATCTTTGCCGGAAGTTTCGAACTACCATGAAAACACTGTTGATTTCCAGCCTTCTCCCTATCGCACGACACAAAGCTTCGACACTTAAAATCTAAACGTTTCTGCCTTCTGTTCGCAGACCTTTCCCGAAATTTAAGTATCTCGACACCTTTCTTCGTCTTTAGGAATACATACATTTGCATTTTACGTTGAAATGAGAACTGAAATATAATGGATCCTTGCATAATACGAAATATGTGTTCCTTGCTATACGAACCATGTGCTTAAATGCAGATGTTTATGCAAATTTATATTTCTACGAACTGCTGCATTTGTGAACAACTGAAGAAATTCAAGTAGTCATTTCTTTCATTTTTTAAATATCGTAACGAAGATTTCACTTTGAATACTATGTATCCTATTTCTGCGTATTGTGTAAATTTTGTATATTTTTGCACATTTAAATTTTCCATAAACACGTGGACATTCGTGATCTACTTGCAACCACTAGCTTCCTCAATGGACGTATTGCCTTTTCTAAAAAGAAAGTTGAAGATTACATCGATTTGTAATACGTTTTATGGGGGTATTTTTCCAGTTCAATAAGTACATCATCGTAACTCTTTCATCACCTTATAAAAGTCCATCTCACAGAAGCTAAACAGCGGACCACTGTATTTATAACGCTGCTACCATTTCGATTAAAAATCTACGCGAAACGAGGAAGCCACCATCCTCCGACTTATTCCCCCAACTCGTTAGCATAAATAACGTCTCGCGCGGTCGAGCCAGACGACTCGAAGAAGCCAGAACAAAGGGAATCTCTCTCGAAAGGACGTTGCTCGTCGTTGGCTCGTGCTCATCGACCCACAAGAAGTCGTGTTTACGGTCGGTCGCGAGCCCTGAAATTACGTCACGTAGCCGACCGAAACCGAGGGGAAGGTAAGTTTAAAAGAGTAGATGGAGAAAAGATGACCGGAATCGTACCTGGAATCGCCACGAGGATGACACGATTGTAAGACGGCAGGCCTTGCATCCTCGTCCAAAGGAAGAACGGTCCTCACGTTGGGTCTTCGTACGGTGACCTCCATGGTGAGGTAGTACAGCTTGGGATCACGGTGCCTCATGCGATACTTGTTCAATAAGTTCTGGACGATCTCACGACAAGTCGTTTCGTACGAGATGCACAGGGTCTTGTACTCGATGTCTGGTCGCAGGCAGTTGGCGTACACCTTTATGGTTGTCTGCAAGGAAAATCGAAGATCGTTAGTATGCATGTATTTTGGTAAAAGTTTTGTAAAGTTTGCAAAACCGTAAATAGATTTAGGAATGTTTGGGATGGAAAAATTCAATCGTTCATGGGGTTCGTTTAAAAATAGATTGGATTACTGTCAGAGCTGTCTGGTCAGAAATTCTTAAATAAGAGAATTGAGAATAAGAGAATCTGATAGTTCAACTGTGATCTCTGTAGAATTAATCGAAACGATATTCACGATTAACTAGATTAATTAAAACTTGAGGAGATTAATTAAAATCTTGGACAAGTATTAGGATGAATATTCATTTTCGTTTGATCCTTGGAATCCACGGAAGCAAAGGTACATTATTCACATTGCAATTTCTAATATCACAAATTTTTTCTCTTCTTTTTTTCTCCGGGGTTAGTATTCTGTCTGAATGTCTCACATATCTAGAAGTTACCCTTTTGCGTAATGTTTTGATTGAATTGATATATTATTCTAAAAGTCTCTTAATAGTCACTAGCTTAAAATTTAGAGAGAGGGTTGTTCTAAGAAAGAATACGTGATTCCTTAAAAGGTGCCTGCATCGCAGAAAGAAAAAGCGTGGAGGAAGACGACGTCCTGTTGTCGCAGAAGGAACTATGAAAAAAATGGTAAAGCCTCGATGCACGAGACGAGAACCTTGACAATTAGTCCATAATTAACTCGGAGACAGACGTTAGCCACGCGTGCTGCATAAAACGCTATCAACCCTTCAGATACACCAGTTACGAGGGGATGTGTGCACCGAAAATAAACCAGACACCAGATCACCCCGTTCGCAGATGGTTAAAAGTCATACTTGTGTGTATTCGTATGTCAGGATTAAGCTCCGTTTACACAGCGGTAGCCTATAATATTAAATACATGGGGTGTGAAAATTGATGTTAGCCCCACACGAACAGAATCAAGATGTCCATGACCGAAATTCGTACGATAAAATTAAATTTTATAAAAATTTCAAGTTCAAACAGTATATAACTTTCATTATAGAATAACTGAATATTTCAGGGCTAAAAAAATGTTGTTCCTGTTTCTATCAATTATTAAACCTGCAAGCAGCGAAGGCTGCAATCTTGACTCATACAGATATCTCAAGTTTATTATCGCTTTCTATCTTACATATAAGTATTATTATTTTATCAAACTATATTAACAATTTTATTTCTTAAGTAAATTTAATTATCACGTGCGGATAAAAAGCCTTTTCACTTGACTCTTCGCTTTATCGCTGTGAAATAAAGCAATCAACGTTGGTGATAATGGTCTAGCCTCTGACCGAAGGTTAATATTAGAAACATATTCCGCTGGTATTCTAGTGAAAAAGACCACAAAAATCAGAATTAATTTTGCCAACGTCAAATGCATATATTTATCGCTTGTTCAGTTCGAGAGATTAAGCTCATTAATACCACGGTCGAAGCAAGTAGCTAATTATAAACGTTCGAACTCCAATCTGTCAATAAGCCAGATGTTACTAGCCGAAGACTTGGCCCACACGTTTGCAAGTACCACTCAGCGTTTGGAAAACACGTGTAGGCAGATTTTATGACCGCAAGCCACGCTTTATTTCCAACTGTAACGATCTGCGCCAAATGCGGCGAATCGCGCGCGGTACAAAACTTGCCACCGCTCGAATCACGGGCTACGTGTCAGCGCACAATGATTTTCTTCGAATATACCAAGCGAAATCATGGAACTAACGGAGTATGACGTTCGTGATACCTCGATTGAACTCGTTCAGATTTTCGCTAAGCTACGGCCATATTCGACGAGCACGTTTCGAAGAGAATGCGGAGATTATCCTTTCACCGCGTATCGTTTTGTAACGCAATATGACCCTTTTATGTCTATGGCTTATTTGGCTATTCGATTCCTTGGATAAATTGAATGGGCATTATACGTGAACGTGTTTGGACAAATTTAGGGGTGCCCCGTATCAATTACTACACGCTTGTTCAAACATCGAATGGCTGGTCCGTATCCCTGGATAATCCTAGATTCTAGATAATTGGTGTACATATTTGTACAATAAAGCGTAATTACTTTGTGTAAATATGATTGATATATTTGGTCTTGTCGTTTATAGAATTTTATCTTCGTTAGTTGATTAATTGTAATATACGATATCAATGAGCACAAACAGTGTAAAGCAAGTTGATAGTAAAAGGATAGTTGTGTAAATTAGTTACAAGGAAAATTCTAAAGGGAAGTAAAAATCGATACAAATATACTATACTTGTACTAAAATCTTCATATATTAAAGCCAGGAACGTGATAATTATATATTCTTCCGAGAAAAATGATACACTCACATATGGTGACTGAGTTTAATTCACAGAAATATTTATAATAATATTCATCGTATCTTTTGAAACTCTTAAACAATCACTAAATGTATATGCATAGAATTTCGCAAGAAACCAGAACTGTTTGAAGACGAGTATAATCTACTTTAATACTGTAAGGAATATACCAATGAAATTATGAAAATACCAGTCGATTTTGTGAAATTGTAACATGAAATATTCTGCACGCTAAATTCAGCCTCAAAAATGGTTCTTATCTCAGGAACAGAATATTTTCGATACTTCCGATATTTCAAATCGTTTGTAGAGAACGTAACGCCAGGTTCGTGGTCGTATTTGCGTTCCAACTAAACAAACAGCGGGGTCCTAGCACGCCTCCATCGTGGAATTCCCGGTGGTGTTTTACGACGACCGGGAATCGATAGAGAGTTGGCGTGTTCCGTTCTAACGAGCCCTAACAAAGCAGTAATATATATACGCCGTTCTTGTAAACACAACGTCGCGTTAGAAAACGCTTGTGGACTGTTAGAATTTCTAACGTCTTCTCCGTGCTACCGTATATGTAATTTCTGCAGAAGAGAAGAGGAAAGAAAAGACTGTCGCGACGTAGACACATTGCGAGATTTCTGATTCATCGCAGAAATTCCAATACGCTTACGCGCGAACGTTTATGCGGTTTACGCGGAATCCGCGAGTGCTCGAGCACCGAAGTATCGATCCTTAGTCGACTTTTTCTGCTCCTTGAACGTGGTTACGAAGGTCGCTTCTTGTTCGACGACTCCAAATTCCATTTTCAGAAGCTGTCTTCTCAGAACTTTCTACTTTTCTCCATTTGGATCATTACAACGTTCTGTTCCCCGTACAAGATGTTTCGTTGAATGTGGAAATTAATTCGAGTTAAGTTTCTGTTTTACATTCAGATTTCCTCATGTTGTAAATTTGTTTCCTTGTGTTTTGAAGATATGACAGATGCGTTTATATATCTTGACAAGACTTACGATTTTTTCGTTTTTAATATTTAGTGATCGATAATAAAACTTTAATCGTGTTTATAAAGACATAGAATTAATTTACGCACTCAACAGGAATACCAAGTTTCCTGTACTATTATCATTGCGACTTTTATTACTAAATAATTACTACTATATGAGTCAGCAAATCATTGAGTAGTTTTTTAAGATATCAGCTGCATTGGTCGTCGGTATGGAGATCACAGAAATAAATTTCTAGCAATTTTCTACTATCGATAGTAACCTTCAAGTGATGAAATTTTTTTCATGAATATTTTTCGCCTATTCATTAACAATGACCTGAAACCTACATAACGTTAAAAAATTAAAAAAAAAAAAAAACAGATGGCAGTTAATAAATTGTAAATGATACGAATGAATAATTCACACTTTATAGTTTTCATGTTTATAAGATAAAACAGGCAGCTCTAATAAAACATTTTTGTCGCACAACAAGTCGATCATGTTATCGGTCGTGTTTATATAACGAAGCGAGTGAAGTAGCGCGTTCCTATCGAATCCAAGTTACTAATGACGGCCGTAGTCTAAAGAGGAACTGCATTCGATCGACAGAGCGTGTATTTTCCTCGTTGGCGGCGGCTAATGAAAGAGAAAATAATATGGAAGATAAGAAAAAGCGTGTAGACGACCGCATACAAGTGTCAAAGGGAGGGTCTGTCGCTCGTCAGGAACTAGTTCAAAAAAGAAGCCACCCTGTCACAGAAACATCAATAACTCCCAGCCGGCTGTACGAACCGAAATACACATCAGGATATTCCTGCTTAGAAGTTCGAGTGCGTTAAAAGTATCCTGTCGTTAGAACAATCCCTATCTACATATGTATGGAACCACTTCCAACGTAAGTGATATGAATAATAATCTGGTCGAGGTTTTGATCGAGCTATTGAAATGGTGAGCAAAATATTAAGTACCAACTAGAAGGAGTAAAAAATGACTTTTTTTTTAATAAAAAAGAATGTAAATTACACACAGAGTAGGATGGAACGTGTTACAAGCGATAGAATAATTCATTTTTGCTTTTAGAGCTATGACAAGGTAGAGATATGATCGTAAATGGAAACTTTAAAATGTGTCTTGTAAGCGTCTTATTACAATGGATATAATTATAAAATAATTCTTTGTATTAGAAAAGGAAAAAGGTGCAGATGGATCGATGTTAGTTATGCGAGTTAAAAAGTAGGTTGTGAAAAAACATGGAAGTATAATGTACAAATGAGTAAATGTAAATTATGTACATTTCTTGTCATACATTTATGCACCCTCTAAATTTCTAGATTTCTGAATTGTTAAATAATGATGAAAGCATTCGAGTGATAAATGATGTAAGTATCAAAATGAACAAAAATTTGAACTATTCGATTCAAGTAACCCCAGCAGTTAGTTTCGAGTCTTTTGCATAATTAAATTTACTCGGTAATCGAATAACGAAGAATTAAAGGAGACAGTGAAACTGGAAGAATTAACAGTTTCCCTCCGGGAAGTCAAAAAACATGCTTCATGTAAACGAATCGTCCTAATGGGGAAGTTAACAGGCAGGAATTCGACGAAGAGGAAGTCCACCCCGCGCTAAATGAAAATCCAGCGAGTAATCTGGCGTATCGAGCGTGAAACGTAAAAAATTCGG